TTTGGATTTATTTTATTGGTTTTATTATTATTAATATTTACAAAATAATTATTAATTATGACTATTCGTTTTACAAAATGTTATGGGGTTATATATAGGGTTGTACATTTGAAATATTTCACTTGAAAAATTTCAATTGAAATATTTCAAAATTGGAAATTTCACTCTTCTTGAAATATTTCAATGAAATTATGAAAAATATTTTTTTTTCTTTTAAACGTGTTTATAGATGATTAGAAATAATATATTGACAAAACACAGAAATCATTGATTATGAATAACTTATCAGTTAGGTATCATTTATCAACCAAGGTTTACGAATAAAAAACCCTACCAAAATACTGTTAATGGTCAATGGATGTAAATTATTAATTAATAATTATATATGTATATGGTATTTCAGTATTTGTATATTGGTATTAATTTTATTATATTTAAATTAATTATATTAAAGATTTGTTAAACAACTTCTAAATTATATATGTTGTGTTCATAGACATGTAAAACAACTAGATAGTGGATTTGCATATTACATTCCCATAGGAACATTGAAGTCTAGTGACCATTTGCCAACAGGGAAATGTTTAAAAAATAACTCAATAGATAAGATNGTTTATATTCCGGAATTTTCCAATTCTGTATTTATGTTTCGATCATTCGAAATTCGAATTCGAGTTATTCCTAGCATGCAGTGGCGTACCTGTGGGGAGGGGGGGGCGAAGGGGGCATTCGCCCCCCCCCGTGGGTCGTATAATTATATGTGACAACTGACAATATATGCCAGAAATGTCCATTGTTATTTTTTTTTTTTTTTTTTTTCATGAACACAATAATTTGATAATTGATAACAGTCAGAACCACGGTTTAAGATATACAGGTTAGCTATCGCCGGCCCTCTATACGGTCAGATTGTGTAACGGTTCAGTAGTTCATATAGCGCTAGTAGTAAGCGCTCTACAGATGTGGTGAAATTATGCCCTAAACCCGTAACGAGTTCTGACCGCAGCTATCAATACAATTTAGATAGCCGGCGACACTCGAATTGCCTCCCAAATTCAGGTAGGTAACCATTTTTCACTCGAATTGCCTCCGGGTGTTTTCGGAGGCAATTCGAGTATACCCAAACAGTCTACTCGAATGGCCTCCCATAGTATACTTGGATTACCGATAGTTTTTACTATTTTTACTATTTTTAAACAAAAAACATACTGATCAAATGTGTTAAAACGCGTACTATATAGTATATATATTATATACATATATAGTAGGTTTTTTAGCAATAAAGGTGGTAAAGATAATAACGTAGACCTTAAAAAGTTAGTAAATGAACCATTAAATAAGTATGCTAAATTGTTAGGGAAGGATGGTGATTTAGAGAAACATAGTTTAAATTTATATCATTTAAATGCTTTGACATCGGCTACTGATTTTTTAAACCGTTATAAAAATCCGCAAAAGGAAATAATAAATATTGTTAATACCTCAAGAATGAAGCAAGTTATAGAAAACAAAGAAAGACTGAAACCAATAATTGAATCCATTATTTTTCTTGGCCGACAAAATATTGCATTTAGAGGGCATAACGACTCAGGAAATTTGTTTGGTGAAAATACAGATAAAGAAATAGAAAAATCTAATTCCCCAGTTACAAATAGTGGTAATTTTCGAGCTCTTCTTAAATATAGAATATTATCGGGTGATACTATACTTGAAAAACATTTAAAATCAAAAACATCAAAAGCAACATATATAAGTCCAAAAATTCAAAATGACATTATTGAATGTTGCAAGAACTATATAACAGAAAAAATTATAAATGAAGTCAATGAAAGTAAATTCTATAGTATTATATTTGACGAGACCACCGATATAAGCCACATTTCACAAATGAGTCTTGTACTCAGGTATGTTCATAATAATATTGTGAAAGAAAATTTTGTTGCTTTTATTGACTGTCACAGTTATTGGTATTCTAAAAATGCATCTACTTCTATAGAAGAAAGTGAACTAAATGAAGATGATAATATTACAAAACATGATACATTGGAGCCAAAACTAACTGGTGATATCCTTGGAGAAATTGTGATCAAAATATTACAACATTTAAATTTAAATCCTCTACACTGTATTGGTATCGGAACTGACGGTTGTTCTGTCATGACTTCTAATTTAAAAGGAGCTGTTCAAAAAATTCAGACCTATACTTTAAATGCTTTTCACTGTCCTTGTTCAAACCACGCACTCAACTTATCAATTTCAAGATCCTCATCTATTCAAGCAATTAGAAATGGTATTGGGTTAATGAAAGAAGTTGTAGCTTTTTTTAATTTGTCATCTAAAAGAAATTATGTCTTAAAAACAATTCTTAATGGTAAACAGCGACTTAAGAGTTTATGTGAAACCAGATGGGTAGACCGTCATGATAGTGTTTTAATTTTCAAATCTTCTTTAAATTATATTGTAGAAGCATTAACTAAAATATCAGATTGGAATGAACAAGATTCATCGTCAAAGGCAAAAACATTACTTACAGCTGTATGCTCATGTGAGTTTATTATATCACTACATTCACTTTCATCATTATTATGTGTAACTGCATCTGCCAGTAAATTACTACAAAGTGCCAATAGTGATATAAGTCAAGCTGCAGATATAATCACTGATATTTTGTCAAATTTAGAAAATAAAAGAAAAAATTGTAATGAAGAATTTAAATCATTGTTTAGAGATGCTGAGATTCAAATGACTGAATTGGATATTGAATTAAAAAAGCCTCGAATTGCTTCAAAACAAATATCTAGATCAAATTATCAAACCACGTCTATTGAAAATTATTATAAACTTTCTATTTATATACCTTTGCTGGATAATATTATAACAGACTTAAAATCAAGATTTTTAAATGAAAAGTATCATGCCATTTCAACATTGCCTTTACTTTTACCCCGTTTCATTATTAAATCTGACACAAATAATATTGATATATTATTAAAGATTATAAAAGAACATTTTACATTTGAAGATAGCAATATAATTGATGCATTGGAGCTAAAAACTGAATTACAACTTTGGAAATCAAGTTGGATTAGAAAAAAAAATGAAGGTAATTAAATTAATAGGTAGTATAAGAACTTTTTAAAATTGAATAATAAGTTAAGTACACATAATATTATTTTCTCTTTTATTTTTAGGTGAATGTATTGACTGTGATGCCATTAAATGTATTTCAGATTGTAGTGAAATAATTTTTCCTAATATTAGACAACTGCTTGGTATAATGGCTTGCTTGCCTATAAGTGTAGCATCTGCTGAACGATCCTTTTCTACTCTAAGACGGTAAAATTTTATCTTGTCATACCTATTTTTTAGTTTAATATTTGTATTCTATTATAATAATAGAATACAAATATAATAGAATGCCTTATAAGTTTTAAAAATATTTATAGGACTCAATATTATTTTTAAAAAGCAATTGAATGCTTACTGCTTTTATACTTTCTACTGCTTCAGTACTTTAGTTTAAAAAAAAAGTTCTTTAATGTCAAACATTTACAGAACCTATTATTTATAAAGATAAATTAATAATCTACAAAATTGGCTTATAAATCTAGATACCTATACACCTAGTACCTACCTACTGCTGTCTGCTTTTTAGTTATTTATATTTATTATTTGCTTTATTTTATGCTTGTGCTGTAGACTAAAATCATGGCTACGTTCAAAAATGGGCCAGGATCGCTTATGTGGGCTTGCACTATTGCACATTTATCAGGAAATAAATATACCAGTGGATGAAATTATTTAACGATTTTCTCGTATGAAGAACAGAAAAATAGACTTTGTATTATAAATTATAATTATAATAAAATTATTTTATAGCATGCATTATACTATATTATTAAATTAAACAATAATTTATTTTTTATGTACCTATTAAAATGTTTTATTTCATAGGTATTTTACAAGTATGAAATTTCCGTTAGGTTAGATTANTATATATTACAAATATATATAATATACTTATATACATATTAATATATTATCATTTATCAATCATGCAATTTTTCCCTGTTGGCATATGGCTGACTTCAATATTGTCTTGTAGTCGGTTATCTAGATTTTTTATATGTCTATGTTTATGTATTAGTATGTATGTAGTATATAACTATGTTACATATTTTCTTTATTTCATACAATAAACCAACTTTTATAAATATTCACATGGAATTAAAAAAAAAATATTTTTCATGCAATATTTCAAGAAAATAAATTTCATCAAATTTTACAACCCTACTTATATATCATACGACAGGACGCAATCGGAACATAAAAAGGTAAGAAAAAATAATTTACCTGTCCGACTCGTGGACGCAATCGACATACTGAAAAGGTATAAAAGGTTAAAACGGGACGCAATCGAATGACGCCCAACAAAACTTATTGGACCAAAATCGGGCCTATAAATTTATGGATAAATAGTGACTAATGTTCGATAACTTATTGGTTCAATAACTTTGTGCAACGTATTTTAATTTTTATCGATTCAATAACTGAACTTATTGGACCAATAACTATTTATTGAACCAATATAGTTTTGTGCAACCGGCCCTAAAACGTATTAAAACATTTTTGATAAATTCAATGACGGAAGATCGACTTATAGCATAGCAATGCTATCGATCAAAAAACAGATAATCAACGACATTCCAAACTTCAACGAAGAAGAAATAAACAATTTTGCAGAAAAAAAGATAGAAGAATCGATTTAACATATAAACATGTACCTGAAATCTAATAAATTGATAAAGATAATTATATAGTTTGTACTTTGTCATATTATTTTTACTGGAAAATGTATTATGTATATAAATGTAAAAATATAAACAGTAAAAGGTAATTTTTAACAATTATTTAATACAATTTATAATATATATATATATATATATATATATACACATAATATTGGTTCTATTTTTTTTTTTGGATGTGTACTACTTCATTAAAAACCAACAAGCCGCCACTGACTGCAACCCGGCATTATACATTATTAAATGTTATAAAGTTTTTGAGTGAAATAAAATAATTTAATCGTAAGAATGGTGGCTTATAGAATATGTCAAGGCAATATTCGTCTTGAAACTACAAAATTCCCGATTATGTCGAGGAAACGAATAAGAACAGTTAACAACACATGTATTATCAACGTAAGGTCGATAAAATATAGTTTCGGTAAACTACGGTAAATTGTTCATTTCATTACACTTAGGTATATTGTTATCTCCAACAATATATTATTTAAGATATTATTATATTGTGCAGTGCCGCAACCGCAACCTCAACCCTTGCCACGCTCGGCGATCCACACACGCCGAAATATGTAGACGTTGTCGGTTGCGCGCGCCGATGTCATCGTCGCATCGAGTGTGACGGGCGTGGGTGGCGGAGGCGTATGATGCCTATTGTGTTTTACTCAGAGAGTCGTACAATCGGACGGCGATTACAAAACCGACTTCGCCGCGCGATGGTCGCCTGGCAACCACCCACCATCTGCAGTTATGCCCACTACACCACCAACAGACGATGCTGCAGCTCACTAATCGCCGACAAACGGTGCACCCTTGACGGCATGACCAAAAACATATTTTTTGCAGTCCTGGGTGCACCCGTTTGGGAGGACGTACGCGTTTCGTCTGCCATCATGATCCGAGTCGCCTTTACTCATCTCTGCCGCCACACTCCATCAGTTATCTGGCTTTTCCGATCATCTTATAGGTACTTGCATTCTTGTCACATGGACCCGTCCAAGGTATTTTCCGGCTTACCACTAGTGAGTATTTACAGTGAAACAATTATTTATAATTGTTACTTTTCGTGGCCGTATAATGTTTGGGGGGGGGGTGGCTTTGTGGCAGGGATATGATTGAGAATGTCATATGAGGGAGGGGGTATAAAAACAAATATGTATGTAAAACTCGTGAGGGAACAAAGCCTTACACCCCCCCCCCCTAAAAAAACTAACAAATAAAATACTGCTGATTAGATTACTTACATTACATGTATATCAGGTATTAGGTAGACACCAGCATTAGTCTCATACTAAAAAAAGTTTTTTAATAGTCTGAGGTACCTATGTCCTATATACTTACAACATTTAGAGCCACTTAACAATGGTTTTCAATTATAAGAACAGTAACCCCATTATAAAAATGCCATAAGGGCAACACAATATCTACTATTTTTCCTCTCCGCCTGTATCCATCTGTAATGTTGGAGGTACATTTTAGACAAAAATCGGACATTATTATGAATTATGACACACTAACTACCGGTTATCAAAATTTAAATGTTTGAATCTATATTGAAAGCTTCACTAATATTTAGATATTTACAAATTGATATAAAATCAAGATTTATTAAATCATGTGATTTGTACTTGGTTAACGTAACTATTATTATGAACAAATTGAAGTGGACAACTTAATTTGTTTTAACTAGGTTGATTTCCGCTCAATTAAAATTTTTTTCAAGTGTTTTAAAAATATGACCCAAAATGGATATCTTGAAAATTTAAAAACCTTAATTATACAAACAATATTTTTTGGACATTTTTGAATATTTGTAAGACATTGATATCTTATGCGATTCAATTTTAATTTTCATACTTGTGAGTTGTGACCGTACAAAATCTCGCATTTAAATGTATTGATTTTCTACAGCAACCCTAAGGGTAGTACTACAAACTCTTGGTACATACTGAATGAAACATTCACATATAAGCAGTATTGAATAAAAAATTTAATTCTTATTACATTATATAATATAATGACACTATTTTTTAAATTTTTTTCAAAACAAGCTGGTTCGAAGACACCTCGAACAAAATTTTTTTATGGAAATAAAATTATGAAAACGATTACATATATTAATATTAGGTATCTTAATAATAATATATAAATAAAAAGAACAAATAATGTTAATAATGTATGATTAATTTTTAAAAATATTAAAAACACTGTAAAATACATGTAAAATTAAAAATTTACATTTTTGTATATCTACCAATCATCTTACTGGTGAATAATCGTCGCATTGTGTAGGTTTAAGATTTACATATATTTTTTAGGTTATACGTTTACATATTAATGTTAAAGATTAACCAAGACAATTATTTGAAATAGGCATAATATTTTTTGACCTCTGTTGATGGTGTTGATGGTGTGAAAGTGAAGTTTGATGGTGACCAATGCATTCATATTTTTGAGAAGTAACAACAAGTTCATATTATTAAATAGAAATATTCCCTACGCACTTCAAATATTAGTTTTATATCACAATGAAATGTGGGTAGTAACTGGTTAAAAAGTTAAAAGTTAAGTTTTAAGTTACATTTTTTGATAACTTTTCACTTAACTAGTTTACAAAAATATTACATCAGAAAAAACTCTGTTAGTTACTAAGTTATTTCATTTCATAAATAGTTGTTACTTAACTTAGTTATTTTGTTAAAATTAATGTTATTTACAATTTTTTCATATTATGAACTATATTTTTTGCATTAATTTTTTTAACGAAAATAACATATTTTTTGTATAATTATACTATAACCAGATAAACATGCATTCTAACATGGTATTCTATAAATACCCACATGATACTTGAATTATAAGTCTAAAATTGCGGAACGACCGCGAAGAAGCGATATCTGCCGACAAATGTACTCATACATTATTAATTTTGGGACTTTTGCCTATTTTAAATATAATTAGAACATGTAGATATTAACACTTTTGGTATTTTAGGTATGTCAGTTAATATTTTTAAATAAAATAATTTATTTAGCCATTGAGAAATTTCAACAAAAAATATTTGTAGGTACCTTTCTAAAACCCTTGCCAAATATTTTATTTTAAAAATCACATTTAATTATTCGTTTTGTTAACTACATTATTGTTCTGACCGAACAATTTTTATTACTAAAAATTGTTATTAAGCGTATGCAATTTATTTACTGCAAAAAGTCCATCTCATAAATCGACTGACATATTTGAGCATTAGCCATTGCCAATACATGTTTCCCTCTACTCATGTTAAGTAAATGTAAAATAAATATAATAAAAAATATTATGAATATATCAAATTATGATTTTATCTTTATTTGTCCACGGAAACTCAGATAATTGTCTGTTTTTTTTTGTTCTTTTATTGAATTTGCTTTTCCTTATATCTTGTACCCAATTTTTGTTGCGTTAACAAACCTGCGGTTTACCAATTACCATCGTAAATAAATTAACTTATAGTTAATTTTTAAATGCTTTAAAATAAGTAAATTAGAAACTTTTAAATTTGAAAACTTTCTTTTTCATAGATGATCAATCTTTGTTTTTGATTCCACAGATTATACACTCAAAAGAGCGGAATAAAGAATTTAAAGTTTTTACCACAGATTGATACAGAAAAATTGAAAGCAATTTTTTATGGCAGACTTAAATCGATTAAACAACCACTGAACAATTCATATTCAACAACCAATAATTTATGTGTTGAACAAAAACTTACAATTTATAATAATGATAACATTTCAGATTGATGTGTGCTCTGCAAACTATTTTACTAAATGTTCTAAAAATTAATAAAAATGTACTATAAATGTCAAATGAGTTATATAATGATAAAAATGTATTTATTTGTGTGAATTTACATAATAATTTTGAATTTTGTTTTTCATATTATTTCAAGCATAACCTATCAAAAGGATTTTAATGAATTCTTGTCATCCCTCCAAACTACCTCATAACAATATATTTGTAAAATAAGTTAGATGATAATTGGATAAATGGAAACGTATGTAATACATACTATAATTATTACTATTATTATAAACATATACTTTTATAATTAACTATAACTAGATATTTATATTCAATTATCAGTAATGTTTTTATTTATTTATATACTGAGATAATTGTGTATATTTTTTTTTTATAATTTACAAAATTATTAAAAGAATTCTTATGAAATTCTTATCTTGCTTCCTAACTACCCCATCACAATATATTAGTAAAATAAGTTATATAATGATTGGATGTATGGAAATATGTATATGTAATAATTAAATTTACTTAATTTTTTTTTTTGTATTATCTATTTTTAATGGATACCACTTGTAACGAAATTCCAATAATTATTTTATAAATGAATACAGAACATGAATTTATGCATAAAGTAATAATTTCAATTATTTCAACATAGGTAACCAATAACACACATTACTACCACATCATCCATCCCAGATTTTTAATGGTAAGTGATCTAGTCTATTATAAAACTTAGCTAAAGTAGAGAGTTAGTATCATATTGGTTAAGTATTAAATTACTTTAAGAGGACGTTGCACCCACGTGAATTGTCTGCGCCTTACACAGAATTAATCGCAAAGATAACTTTGGCGACTTGGCGTATAACTTTAGATCATCCGCAAATAAATCTGATCATAGATATTGAAGCAGGAGCCTAGGTATATCCATGATAAGAAATAACAAATAATAGGGGTGAGAGGTTCCACTACCGTGAGGTACACCGGGGGTAGAGGGAATGGGATTCGATAGAAAACCATTTATTTTCTCTCGATGGGATCTATTCGTTAGATATGAAGAGAACCAAGATTCAATTCGGTAGACACTTTTGAAGGATGGGAATTGTGGGCAAACGTACTATCTATAGCCATGGTAGTTAATACCACAGGGTGGTGGTATTAATTTCACGTACGTGATGTATTTAAATTCTTGCATCTCGCTAATTGCAACATTTCACTTTAGTTTTTTTTGGAGCACTAATACCAATATTATTTAATACAAAATACATACTGTCAACAAATTTAAGAAGTATAAAAAATATAAAAATATTATGCTTAGACTAAGATTAATAACACAATTGTACCACAAAATATTAGATAACATTTTTTGGTATAGTGAAAAGCTGTGGCGGGCTGAAGGGCTCAACTTTGACGCAGCTGCGTCAATGTTTCAAAGGGGTGGTGCCACCCCGGCCTATGGCTCGACTTCTTGGTTCTTTTGACCACATTTTACCTATCGGCTATCACCTATGCAATACATAAATAGAAATAATGTAGTAAATACATTATGCAATACACTGTGTCTGGCGTTAGAGAGGACGAGACACGCAAACTCCGTCTGTGCCTCGTTGGAGGGAAGCTACTATTTGTAGCATTGTAGCAATGTTATCTTAGTCACGCAATTCTTTTCAATCACTTTAGTAGTTGGCGATGACGTGAATAGCTATTTTAATTTTCAGCCGCCTTATGTAAGGGGCCCGTGTGGCCGTGTTAGTGCGTATTAAAGATAATTTTCTGAGGCCTGTACCTCAACATGAAAGGGTGGGTCGAACTGCCGTACTTGTGTAAGGCTATGAGAATAATAAAATTTATTAAGAAAATACAAACCGCCGGAGGTAAGGATTTTAAATTTGAAGTACTTATAAGTTATAAGTACTATACGTGGCACATACCGCCACGGTGAGCAATTTCACAGAATATATCAAATTTAATAATAATAGAAATATGATTGCCCATATCCCCAACCGAACGACCGTCCGTCTGAATCTATTAATAAATTAAATACCAACAATTTTTGGAAAATCTGATCATAATAGATAACATCGCGTAATGCGTATCCGATAACGTATCCGTATAACGAACACCACCACCACCACCACCAAAATTCACAACAGAGTAATAGTAAATTAAATTATTTACTAATAGCTATATAGTATAATATATTACATTTTTTTCCCATGTGGCCATGTTCATTATATTGTACTCTTATTTCTCTTTTTATTGTTCATTCCCTACAATATCTCCGTATTATAATCATACCGATGTGATATTGTGAAAAGTTTGTGCATATTTTACTTTATTATCTTACAATAATAACTTAAATTAAAAAAATGGCAAATAATTGTGTTACGTGTGGACGTATTCGAGATCGTAATATGAATTCAACCAATTGGAAGAGACACACTAATGCTTGTGCATTAAAAAACATTACTAACAAAAGGAAAAAAAAATTAAACGAAGTACAACTGCAGTCAAACTCAATTCATAATTTTTTTAATAAAAGGATAAAAATCCAAGCCAATAACGGTAAGCACTAATACTTCTTAGTTTTTAATCTAATCACATTTCCCTGATATACCTATCCTAGATGGATCAAGTATCCTGTTTTAAAAAAAAAAGTTTTTGGTAGGGTATTCAACATTTTTAATTTTTTAATATAATAATTGTAAAATGTAATTTGGTTTTTCTAGTATCTGGTAATTCAAATTCATTGGACCACAGTATTGCATATTATGAGAAAAATGAGTTGAATATCGATTGTAGTATGAATTTAAACAATGATTTAGTTAATTCTATTAATCCAGAAGGTAGTATTTAAATTATTTATATTTTTGATACGATTATAAAATAATCATGTGATTTTTCTAGTATCTGGTAATTCAAATTCATTGGACCACAGTATTGCATATTATGAGAAAAATGAGTTGAATATCGATTGTAGTATGAATTTAAACAATGATTTAGTTAATTCTATTAATCCAGAAGGTAGTATTTAAATTATTTATATTTTTGATACGATTATAAAATAATCATGTGATTTTTCTAGTATCTGGTAATTCAAATTCATTGGACCACAGTATTGCATATTATGAGAAAAATGAGTTGAATATCGATTGTAGTATGAATTTAAACAATGATTTAGTTAATTCTATTAATCCAGAAGGTAGTATTTAAATTATTTATATTTTTGATACGATTATAAAATAATCATGTGATTTTTCTAGTATCTGGTAATTCAAATTCATTGGACCACAGTATTGCATATTATGAGAAAAATGAGTTGAATATCGATTGTAGTATGAATTTAAACAATGATTTAGTTAATTCTATTAATCCAGAAGGTAGTATTTAAATTATTTATATTTTTGATACGATTATAAAATAATCATGTGATTTTTCTAGTATCTGGTAATTCAAATTCATTGGACCACAGTATTGCATATTATGAGAAAAATGAGTTGAATATCGATTGTAGTATGAATTTAAACAATGATTTAGTTAATTCTATTAATCCAGAAGGTAGTATTTAAATTATTTATATTTTTGATACGATTATAAAATAATCATGTGATTTTTCTAGTATCTGGTAATTCAAATTCATTGGACCATAGTATTGCAGATGAGAAAAATGAGTTGAATATTGATCGTAGTATTAACTTGAACAATGATTTTGTAACATCTACTAATTCAGAAGGTAATTAATTAATTTTTTATTAATAGGCTATTAATTTATTTTGATAGGTTTTAAAAAATATATTTTTAACAATTAAAAAACCATAAGAAAATATTCAGCTTTTATTATTTAAAAAAAATTTGTTATTAATGATTATATATTATATTATTATTATTATATGCATACTTTTTTTATAATTTCATCTATTATTATTACTTCAAGTATATTTTCTAAATCAAATATTTTTAAATTATATGTTGATGATATATTGCAAATCTAAATTAACGAGATTTATTACACATTGAGATTTTCATTATTTGTGTATAAAATATTTTTATCAAAAATGTTACTTAAATAACCCTGCTTGAAGCAGATACTGCATTGGTAGTTACCACATAAAAACATTTTTATGACAAATTTCAATATTTTCCAAGGTCATTTTTAAATTGTAATTATTATACAGGGAGTAAATGAATCACCCTATAAGTGAGTACATTAATTTTCTTGCAAAGTAATGACTATTTCCAAATTTTTTTTTCTTCAAAATTTTAGATTTATGTTTTTCTAAAAGTGTATAATATTTTTTTCACCCATATAATAGGTTAAACCACTATTTATACTTTTGATTTTCGAATGGCAACATATAGTTAAAATGGCATAACTTAAAAAAGCTATTATTATTTTTTTTATGATTTTTCGAGTTAAAAATTTTATTTTTCGTTAATACCCTGTTGCTAGCTTCTCAAAGTGTTAAACTTACTGAATGTAATATTTTGTAATAATTTTTGTTAGTATTTAGTTAATTAGTGTTTGTTATTTAAAAAGTAATAGCTGGAGAGTTGTTTAAAATAAGAATTCAATTACCTACTATATATTTGTTTTAATAAAATTGTATTGATTATTTATTACAGAGATACCCATCATAGAAACAACTAAATTTGACAATGATCCTGCTTATATCCCTAGTTCTATATCTGCTGAACTATTGAGTTACTTCGCCAACCTTGGCCCTTGCCAGCCAACACCAAATGATTTACCCCAACATTCATTTAAAAAAAAAAAAGACTGGAATTATATGAATAGATCTTTCCACGAGTCTTATTATTACAAAAAATTGGCAAACAATAATAAATCTAGAAGACTTTGGCTATCTTATTCACCAAGTAAGGATCTTATTTTTTGTATTTCCTGTAAACTTTTTGGTTTACCAAAAGCCCAAAAATCAAATTTAGCTTTGAATGGTTCAAATGATTGGTCTAATATACAAAGAATTATTAATAATCACGAACACTCACATAATCATATACAGTCAGAAATCAGTCGGGGTCTATATTTACAAAGTAATCGAATTGATTTAAATGACCAATTAATTATATGTGCTAATCGTGAAGTGGCTAATAATAGAGAAGTGGTTCGAACTGTTATTGAGGTATTGATTTTTGCTGCTCGACAAAATATATCGCTACGAGGACACAATGAAAATGTTCAATCATTAAACCGCGGAAATTTTTTAGAACTATTAAAAGTCATAGGACGTCACAGTGCCCCTGTTATGATGCATCTTGAAAAAATAAACAAAAGTAATAATAACAGATTAACATTTATGTCTTCTAAAAGTCAAGAAAAACTGTTGAGTATATTAGGTGAAATGGTTCGAGCACAAATATTGAAAGATGTGAAAAATGCTTGCCATTTTGCTGTTATAATTGATACCACTACGGATATATCAAACCAAGAACAGTTTACATTTATAGTGAGATATGTTAACAGTACTGGTGTAATAGAAGAGCGATTGTTGGCTTTAGAAACTGCAAGTGATGCTACAGGACAAGGATTATTCAATACCTTTTGTACAATAACAAGTAAATATGACATCAACTGGGAAAAACATCTGTGTGCACAATCATTCGATGGTGCAGCATCTATGCAAGGAATTTATTCAGGTCTACGAAGTTTTATTCAACATAAAAATCCTAGAGCAATTTACGTTTGGTGTTTTGCCCACATATTAAACTTAGTAGTGGTAGATACATGTGATTCATGTACTATTGTACTGATACTAAAAATTTTTTTGGAGATGTTCAATCATTAGTATTTTTTCTAAAAGCTCGCAAAAGAGCAGCTGTTTTTATTGAATGCCAAAAAAAAATGTATAAAGATGAGAGAGTTTTGCGATTGAAAAGTTTTTCAGATACTCGATGGACCTCACATGGTAAAGTTTTAAATGTCATATTTTGTAAATATAAAGCATTGATTGATGCTTTAGAAGTCTTACAAAATTCTAGTGATAGAATTACAGCATCTAGTTCAAGGACATTTTTAAAGACAATTTCAACTTTTAAGTTTGTATTATGTTTAATATTTTTTAAAAATATTTTCATTGTGACTACACCACTTTCTAACTACCTACAGTGTAAAACTATTGATTTCTTTGAAGCAATACAATTAGTTAATGTGGCAAAAAAAAAGTTAAGTGAAATGCGATCAGAATGCAAGTATGAAGTATTTATTAACGAAGTTAAGGAATTTGTGAATTTTAATAACGTACCAGAAAAAGACTTTAAAGAAATGAGAAAAAGGACGAGAAAGTTACTTGCAGGAGAAACTCCAGATGATAATTCAAATGTTTCTTCTATGATTCAATTTAAAATTAAGACATATTATGCTGCTCTTGATAAAATAACAATGTCATTACATGAAAGATTTAGTCAATCACAAGAAATACTAAAAGATTTGGCAATATTAAATCCTGATCGTTTAATGGCGAAAGATTCACAAAATCTGCCCAGTGATTGTTTTCAACACATTTCACTGTGGCTTGAAAACATCAATACTGACCAACTCAGGACAGAATATATTCAATTTAAAAATAATATTTATGAACTTATAAATGGATTAGAATTACCTACTGAGATTCATGACGACACTAGCAAAGTACAAAATACTGAGATTGATGAGAATGATGATTGTTCAAGTAATGACGGAAATTTGAATATCATGGATGAAAATATTGATTTGAATAAAAATGTAACTATTAAAACTATAATTCAATTATTGACTAAGTATGGACTTGACTCAGCCTTTCCTAATTTGCACGTTGCGTATAGAGCTCTGGCAACAATTCCAGCATCATCTGCATCAGCTGAAAGATCTTTTTCAAAGGTAGTAATTAAGTATATTGTCTTTATAAATTAGTAATACACAATAAAAAAAATTATTTAATAAATTCTAAACATGAAATTCTAGGTGAAATTGATTAAAACAAGACTAAGATCAACAATGGGGCAAGGTAGATTAGAAAGTCTCTTACTTCTGAGTTGCGAAAGAGATATTCCAATAGATATAAATATTGTTATTGATATATTTTCACAGTCTTCAGATCTCTTAAAAAATGCATTAACTTTTAAATAATACTACATTTGAAGTTTGTCATAAAAAATGTCTGTTATTGTCATTGTTATGACTTGTTAATAAAGTTCTTAATTAATTTGTTTATTTTTTTGTATAGTTTTTATTGTGATAATATTTTTTTTTTTTATAGAGAATAGTATTGTATATTTGTATGTATATATGTAATGTACTTACACAATAGTTTTAATTTCAAACTCATATGCTTATTGACCACTTAAAAATTTGCCAAATATTTACTTTAAACATAATACATAGAATTTAAGAAAGTGTAATATTATTTGTATCATAATACGAGTAAAGTTGAAAACTGAGGGGAGGAGAATTGCCCCCCATATTTGTGAGCCTTGACATTATATTCAAGTCAGAATCGGTGGGGAGGTTTACCCCCCCCCCACACACCGAAAATTTGATCTAGGTACGTCCCTGACTAGGAGGTGGTGGTGGTTGTATATACTAAAATATGAAATTGCGTCATTTAAAATTTAAGTTCAGTCCGCCACTGTACATTATAGGTACTTTATAATAGATATTTACAATGTTTACAGGTTCTATGGAATTGTAGTACGGTCGACAGAATCAATAAACAAATAGTTAATTGTAATAAATATCCAGAGAAAAATAAAAGTAGGCAGACTATTTGAGCGTTGTAAAAAAAATAACGATGTGTTACGAGAATGGCTCGAAACAATTCCGTCGCAACCGGATGAAAAAAAATAAAAAACTAAGCACACGCTGTGGAATCGGTCGGTGAACGAACGAATCGCTAGACGGCGGCCATTACGTAAGAAACAAGTGAACGACGGTGATACGACTGCAGCTAACACTAAAAGTTGAAATGTAAACTCCAGCACGACTACAAGGGCATACGCTTGTATGCTGTAATAGCTTAGTATTATTATTGCGCTGCCGCAGTGTTACGGATTGAAAAATCCTCACTAAATATGAAAATAATTTATAAAATATTAAATTACAGAAACAATAATTTTTTCCATGTTTAATGTTCCGTGCTCGTACTTATAGATCATATTATACAACTATGATAATGAACAATGTAGTGTAGTCCGAATTTCGTTATCTGACAAACGATAACAACCAAATTGTATTCCAACGTTCAGAATTACCAACCATAAAAACAAAATTTCAAATAGATACGTAATAATTAGTTGTAGCCAAGGTCATAAATAAATTCTTAATGGTTATAGAGTCCACAAACTACTAATATTATCTACTAAGAACATTAAATATACATTTAAAACTTTTTTTTACTATCAATATTATATAAAAACTAAAATTAGTTAAGAAGTAAAAATGCCAATAACATTTTCCAATAATCACCTTAAATCATATTATATGGTATATAATCGACAGCTATCAAAATCCCACTGTTCACTGAACAAAATCGTGCCGAGCCTTCGTTGCCAAATTCATGCCGATCCTCAGGCAAAATGTAAGCAAATCGATCAAGTGTTTGACCGTCGCTTCCATCATGTTCTATGCCGGATTTTCTTTTGCCTATTTGTGCGTCGGTTATATCATTCATTAATTATTGGTAACATCAACAATCCGTTGTTGAATTTCTTACAATTCTTTTAGTTACTCGCATTNCCCACACACCGAAAATTTGATCTAGGTACGTCCCTGACTATGAGGTGGTGGTGGTTGTATATACTAAAATATGAAATTGCGTCATTTAAAATTTAAGTTCAGTCCGCCACTGGTGAAAAGCCATTCAAAAATTACCACTTGAAGAAACATAAGGTTGCCCCCTTTGAATTCAGTATTATTTACAACCGAAGTATAAGCCACGAACTAAGATATACAGGACTGGAAACGAATGTTGATAAGTGTACACCTTAATATCATGATTGTGCGGGGGACGAGGGAATTTCAGTTCTAATCAACACTAGCGCTCAACTCAGCTAGCGGTCGCTATTCGAGCTTATAGTTATTATTAAATATTATTTATTTATTTGATTTAATAATCTTGATAAATTCTTAATATTATGCAAGGCCGTAACTGGGGGAGAGGTCCAGGCCCCCCCCCCAAAAAAAAAAATTGTTTTCCAGTTACGGCCTTGATATTATGCATTTATAACAAAAATAATAGAACTTATTACCTATAATTTATAAAGTACCTTTTATGTAGTAATAAGTTTTGATAATTTTTTTTCTTGTAACTTCTCTTTTTTAGTTGTTTGTTTTATGACAAAGTAAACTGTTTCATTCTCATAGTGATGTAGTATTGAAAAATATTTGTCATTATTTCAGTTTTATGATCATTACAAGAGCAACTGGTACTGCTCCAAAATTTCCTCTTACACCCTCTAACCCTATCGTGTCCAGTCCTGTATATCTTAGTTCGTGGTATAAGCCATGGAGAATTATAGAAGCGACATTCATTCCTCTTCTTTTATTTTGTTTTAATTTCGTGAAGTAATGGTTGATGTTGTAAAATTGATCCCGAGGTTTCGAAAAGATACCAATTTGGTCTATTAAGTCATGCCACAAGTAGGTACCAGAGGTACCTAGTGTCCTAGTATACAATGACTTTTATTAAATTATAGGTAAGCGACTCCGTTGGTACTGCACAATGGTGGCCATTAACTTGTTAAAAAGTTAATTTTTTTAACTTTTAACTTAACAAGGTAGTTATTTATTTTTGTTTTTAACTCATTTACTTATTTAGTTAAATGTTGTGTTATTTTAAACTTTTAACTTAACTTGTTATAGTTAATTATCATTATTGTACAGTTAAGTTTATTTTTTTTTTATATACATATCGTGGAACCAGCAGACAAAACTTATTCTTTCGATTTTGGTAATTTATTTTTCTAGTACTATAATATATTAATATCATCAATTCATAATAATCGAATTATATTTTTATCTATAATCTATAGGTATTATAGCAAATAGTAATAATTATTCATTAGTATACTATCTATTGTATGAACAGCTATTGCCTATTTTCAAGAGTTCTATTTAATGATTTACTCGGTATTGAATAATCTGAATTTTGTTTTGTCTAACTCTCCAATTAGTGTAGATCTAAAAACCAGTTTAAAAATAAATATCATAGTCTTTAAATAGATGTCAATAATATATAGTGGTAAATAGTAAATACAACAATTCCAGTAGATATAACAAAAAGTCGTCCGAGATATTTATAAATTAAAATTCGTAATAAATACAAGCAGACAAGTTATTCAGGAAATTTAGTATGCATCGAATTCAGTCTGCAATTTTCAAATTCGCAATAAAATAAAGCTGGGAAGCTGATGTCACACTGCTGTACAGGTTACAAATGAGTCACTGTAATTGGATGTTGTTAAATTTGAATTCAACGATATAAAATTATTATTTTTTCCGATTATGAGTGAAAACAGTCTGTCAGTCTATATTCTAGACTCTATAATATTAATAAGTAATTAAGTATATTTGATGATATTGTTGTGGTTCAAGAAATTTATTTTACTAGTAAGCCTATTAGTAATTAGTATTACGCAGTAGATTAAGTTCATTTTGGCCAAAAAAAAATATTCTTGAAGAGTCATTGTGTATAAAATATAATAATATTCTTTAAAAGTTTCAAGTACCCACAAATAATATATTTTTTAATTTACAACGAAACAACATCAATCATTAATTTTGGTTATTTAATATATAATTTCATCCACAATTGAACATAAACAAACTAAAAAAATACCGTGCTTATGTGTTTTTAGATTTTTTGGTTACAGAATAACCAACTTGCGTGGAACTTTGTTTTTAAACAAAAACTTTTATTTGAAATCATAACTAAAATTATTTATAAATTTTAATTGATGAATTTTGTTAAAATTTGTACTTTAAAGTTTATATAGCAAAATGCATATGTATTTTTAATATATTTTTTTACTTATATTATAAATATATATCAGGTGTTTTGTATTAAATTGTCAAGCTTTTTGACTCAACAAATAATTTTATTGACAATTATAGAAAGAAAAAACTAAAAAGATTAAAAATTGAAAATGTCCGTTAACATCTTAAAACGAGTGACAATATTTTAAAAATTTTATCAAGTATATGAATTGATAATTTAAATATATGGTGTAAATTTCAAGTAACTGTAGTAATTCGTTTTTAAATTACAACAACATAATAAATTCGCTATAAAAGAAATGGAAAAATGTCTACTTTAAACTCTCATAAAAATTTAATTTGACTTTCCTCTAGAATTTTTTTTTGTTAGACCAACTCTTAAGAAATCTTGTATGGAATTTTAAAGACTTATATATAAAAATAAATATTTTTATAAATTTAAAACTCAAAATAATGTTTAAATTTTCGTTAGGGTAGGTATTTTGTCGAAATTTAAAATGAAGACGCTCATAAAAATTATTGTGTCTAACGCTAAACTTCTTTTTAATTTCTACAAATGACAACTGATAAGAAGCCTGGAATTATATTTTCAAATTTTTTGATTGCGCTAACATTTTTTCATAGACATAATCGAAAATTGCATAGCCTATAAATAGTTCAACATGAGTCAAAATATTTTTAAAATTGTATGGTGTATAGAAAATGCTGAAAATTTCATGTATCTATGGTTATTTTTTTATTTGTTACACTAAAAACCAAATCAATTTTTTCGAAAACTGGTTATGAGTACTGATTCCAATTTTTCCTTAAACAAATATAAAATATACAAAATATTCATCGCTACTCTCAGCCGCTCAGGATCTTATATTAAGTCCCACTTATCGTGAAAATTATAGCTTATAGATAGGGGTGGCAAACCTTCTTCGGGTCAAGTACAAAAATTTAAACATTCAATTTTTTTAATTATTAGTGTGTGCCCCCCCCCCCAAAAAAAAAAAATATAATAAATTTTAATAAAAATGAAAAAAAAGTAAGAAATAATTATCAAACACATTTTATTTATTGACTTTTATTTTATGAAATATTAGGTGTTAAATATTATTTTACTCCTAGTTGTTGTCAAGATTTTATTACTCATTTATAAAATTCTCTCTTTAAAATATATCAAGAAAAATATTTTTTGAC